TGGGGGCGGCGCGGCGCGGCGCGTAGCGGCGGGCGGAGAGGCGGCGGCGGGCAGGGGGGCGGCAGCGGGCGGGGAGGAGGAGGCGGAGGCGGCGGCGGGGTGCCCGGCCCCAGGATGGTGCAGCGCGGCCCGCGGGGCCGGGGCGCGGAGGCTCGGCGGGAGCCCTGCGCCCCGCTGCCCGCCCGCGACACCGAGCCCGCCTGGTGCAAGACGCCGAGCGGGCACATCAAACGGCCCATGAACGCCTTCATGGTGTGGTCCCAGCACGAGCGCCGCAAGATCATGGACCAGTGGCCCGACATGCACAACGCCGAGATCTCCAAGCGCCTGGGCCGGCGCTGGCAGCTCCTCCACGACTCCGAGAAGATCCCCTTTGTCAGGGAGGCCGAGCGCCTGCGCCTCAAGCACATGGCCGACTACCCCGACTACAAGTACCGGCCTCGGAAAAAAGGCAAGGTGGGCACCGGCGCAGCCCGCCCGCGGCTCCCGGTGAAGATCAAGCCCTCCGTGCTGGGCCGTGTCTCCGCCAGCCGCAGGCAGCCCGCCAAGCTGCCCACCGGCCCCGACACCCCGCAGGAGCCCGCGCCAGAGGTGCCCACTGAGGACTGCCCCGCGGAGCCCGGCCCGGCTGCCTGGCACCCGGCACCCGACGGGGAGCACAGCCCCCAGGAGCCCCCGGCCCCCCTGAGCCCTGCCGCGCCCTGCCCGGAGCCAGGGACCTCCCCGGAGAGCGGGTCCCCCTCTCCCATGTCAGCTGGGTCCCCTCCCTCCTCCTTCAGCTCCTCGGATGAGGAGCTGGAGGAAGAGCTGCTGGGGGTCATGCCCGGGCGGGCGCCCGCCAGTGCCACCTGTGGTGCTCTGGACTGGTCTGTCTTCGACAAGGACCACGACCTCTTCCCGCGGGGAGGCTCCTCGCACTTCGAGTTCCCGGACTATTGCACGCCCGAGGTGACGGAGATGATAGCGGGGGACTGGCTCATGTCCAGCATCTCGGACTTGGTCTTTACCTACTGAGTCCCGCACTCTGCAGGTAATGCTTGTTTTTATTTTCACCCACAATCAGGTCAGATAAAAAAAAAACCAACAAAACAACCCAGGAAAAAAAAAAAGAACAAAAAAACAAACAAACCGAAACCAGCTGTTTACATGCAGGAATCAGGTATTTTGCCTTGAAGCTGCTGGAAGGCAGAGACCTTGCTCCCCCCACCCCCCGGCACACACCCACTCCTCATCTGTCTGTCTGTCCGGCCCTCGCCTTGCGCCAGTGGGATGTGTGGCCGCCCACCATGGTTATTTGCCTGTGAAATGCATCTCATGGGGCTTTCATTGTCACACCCGGTCACTTCCCCCCATGACCCCAGTGCTGCCGGCCATGGCTGCTCCCGGCCGCTCCCATCTCCGCCAGCCCTGTGTGTCCTCCCACTCTCCAGGCAGCCGGAGCATCCACGCCACCCTGGCTCTTGGTGCCCATCCAACTTTCCCCATCCCTCGGGGAATGGCCGATTCCATTTGCTTTTTGACTGCGTTTAACGCATGGCTTCAATTTTTCTCCTCTTCCTCATTGCAGCCCTTGGGGAGGGATGCCGAGCCATGCAAAGCCCTCCCTTCCCGATGCTCTGTTTCATGGGGGATCCCTGGCTTTTGGGGGTTCGGCGTCCCACGGCACCGTCTCCTTCCCCGTGGCGCGCGCTCCCCGCCGCTTGCTTTGGGAAGAGTGAAGTTGCACGCACGTGACGCGCACGTGGGCGCGGGAGGCTGTGTTGTTCCTCTCGCCAGGCAGTTGTGCAGGGGAGCCCGTGCCCGGGGCCAACCCAAAACCTGGTGGGGATGACCCCTTCCCAAAGGAGCCAGCCCTTATTTTTAGCCTTGGAGCCGGTGCCCGTGTAGGACCTGCTCTGGGCTGGCTCACCTTGGCTGGCGGAGAAGGGTCCCACCATGCCCGGCTGTGGTGGGTGGTGCTGCTGGGATGGCAAGGAGCAGCAGGGAAGGGCAGGGTGGCAGGAAAGGGCAGCTGTAGGGAAATCTGCCTTAAGCAACCACCCAAACGGGGCCAAGAGCAGCAGCAGCCGATGTCAGTGGGCGTGTGGGGTGTGGGTGATGCTCTGGCGTGGGGCTCCTCCACAGAGCATCATGCTGAGCCCCGCTGCCGGCTGAGCTGAGAGCAAGGACATGCTGGCAGGGAAGGTGCTGCTGCAGCAGCTCCTCCAGCTGGGATTTTCTTTGCTTTTCCTAATGGCTCCTTCCTGCGACAGCCGCCTCCTCCCACTGCCGGGAGCACGTGGCTGCAGTGCTGGCTCGGCGGCTGCCGCAGGCTGTGGTTGGGGGGGCAGGGGCTGTGCTCGGGTACAGCGGTGCTGGGTGGGGACGTGGCTGTGGTAGGGGCTGGCAGCGTCCTGAGGAGCTGTACTTGGTTCAGCAGCAACTGCTGCTTGAAGCAGCCCCTGCAATCCCCCGCGGCCCCGATTCCCCAGGAGCTCTGGGTGTGTGGGAGCCCCTCGGACCCCTCCTGGGCAGTGGGGTGCTGAGGGCAGCAGAACACCCGCTCTCTGGGGGCTCTGCCTCCTTGACTTGGGGCTGCTGGTTCTCCTGGTCACAGGCCACCCCGTGCCTGCCTGTTGCTGTCAGGCCGGATTGAGCTGTGACCATGTGAAGGACATCCCCCTCCCAGGCCCTGGCATCCCCTCAGGCTGCCTTGGAGTCGGGGACCCGCCTGGCCCCACTGCTGGAGGTGCTGGTGGCCCTGGCTCAGCCATGGGGACAGGTACTGCAGCGCAGGGAGAGGCGTGTCCCTGGGCCCTTCACTTGGGATGCTCGGTGTCCCCCAGCCCAGTCCCGGATGGCCTGGGGGTCCCCTCGAGGCCCCCCCGATGGTCAGCCAGCCATCAGCAGTGTAGATGTGTTGGTGTGTAGCGGTAGCTGTGCGTGTGTGTTGGCAGTAGCCACGGTGTTTCGGTATCCCCGTGTGGTGCCAGCCTGCGGAGCCAGGTGGGCGTCACGCATCAGACACGTGTTCCCTGGATAGAGCGCATCCCCTTCCCTGCCTCCCCCCCGGCCGTTCCCCACCGGACTCAGACTCACCCCACAAAAGTGGAAAAGCCAAATAAGCGCTGGGACAGCCGTGATTCCGGCAGCCTGCTCCCACCTCACTGCCGCTTGGGGGGGTTCTGCCTTCCACCCCCTGGGCAGCCCCATGCCAGGAGCACCTGAAGCCCCCTCCCATGTTGTGAGCCGAGTTTGGGGTTCCCATGGGGTCCAGCAGCCCCAGGACTCTCTGACGCACACAGATCTCACCCAGCACCTCGGTGCCTTCTTGGGGTGCACAGCCACCCCACGTCGTGACCAGGGGTTCTCAGGGAGGGCACTGAGGCTGACGGCCACCTGCCCTCCATCCCCAACTGTGGGGAAGCCAAAGCCCCCAGGTACCAGCAAGGCCTGAGGCCACAGTGAGGGTCTCACATCACATGTGTGCTTTGCTGACCCTGCAGCTCAGGGCTCAGCTCCCATTCTCAGTGGGGACACGGCTCCCGGTGGTCCCCTCCGTGCTGTGCATCGCCCTTGAGCTGGGGTGATCCCTCCACAGACTGTCAGGCAAAATGTTTCCTCAGGAGCAGGTTCTGGGTCAGTGCCAGAACTGGAGCCAGCGCCGGGGCCTCCCCTTCCCGGCTGCAAGCACAACACCATCTGCTTTGTCCCCGTCCCCCCTGTCCCCTTCCTCGAGTCTCGCCGGGTGTGTTTGTCAGGGAGAACCGTCGTGGACAGTGGTGGATTTTCTGTGCCGTGTGGTTGTAGTGCTTAGAGACCCCCCCAGCGTGCGGCCCCCTCCCGCTGCGCCCCCGCCTCCCCGCTGCCCGGTGCTGGCTGGCATGCGTGTGCGAGCGTGTGTGCGTGCGCGTGCGACATCCCGTCATCACTCCAGACAAAGCGAATAATAATAATAATAATAAATAGTAATAATGATAGTAATAATAAAAATAAACCAAACCTCTCTCAGGAAGCAGCCGCCCCGGCGGCGGCCGAGCGGGCCGGGGGTCCCCGGAGCTGGCGGGGCCCCAGCGCAGCCTGCGGACGGGCGCCAGCGCTCGGGGTCACCTTTGTAGTGTCGTGTTAGTGAAGGGTCCCTGTGTCTGTTGTCTTGGAGAAATAGGATTTTAGCTGAGGGGCAGTCATGACCCCATCCCGGGGGTGTGACGTGGCCGACTCTTGCTCTGCGGAACAGAACCTTGGCTAACAGTTATCCTGACTGTTGTGATTATGGAATAAAGTGTGTTGGTCTGCTCCCTATGGCTCTGTCTCCTTCTGTGCCAACGCACCCCCTCACAGGGGAATTTGGGGTTCCCAGGGGTATGGGAGGTCCCCAGGGATATGTGGGATTCCCAGTGGCCAACATCTGGCTCCCAGCATGTCACCCTGAGCCTGACTTCTCATGGGCTCCCACACGGGGTGGGGGTTTCACCCTCATCAGTCAGAGTGGGATGGGTGTTCCTGGGAGCAGTGTGAGCATGTGCATATATGTGCACGTATGTGCATGTGCACACACAGCCCCACCCGCGTGTGTGTGTGGCAACCCCGACAGCGCCCCCGACTCCGTTCAGCCAGGGGGAAGGGGCTGGGTGGGGACACCGGGGGCACAGGGGAGGGAGGGGACCAGGGTCGCTAATCTGGTCCCGCAGCAGGGCCCGGGGGGATGGGGGGGGCAAGGGGTCACATGCTGCTTGCGTCACACGCCCCCCCTCTCACCCTCAGCTGTTGCCACGGCAACAAGAGGAACCCGGAGCATCCCCGGGTACCGCCAGCCCCTCCCACGGCCCCGATGCTGCTGGGGACCAGGCTGTCCCCGGGGGATGGAGAGGTGCAGGGGTGTGCCCATGTCCCAGTGACCCCACAAGTCTGCAGGCTGCACCCACCTGCCCGGGGTGGTGCCCACTCAGGCAGTCATGCTCCAGCATGGGGTGACTTCGCTTGGATCCCTGGCTGTGGGATCCAACTCCTGCCCAGGGACACTACTGGGAGCAGAAGGCACCGTGAGGCTGCTCCAGCCATGGTCATAGCTCCTGTTGCCATTGCCCTCCTGACCTTACCCAAGTCTGGGACTGTGCAGGGCCAAGTGTCCAGTGCCCGATGTCCAGCATGGCCTGCACAGGCACATGCACACACTGCCACTTGCCTGGCTCTCACTCATGTGGCAGCGGCCTCTTGGCTACCCCAAAGGTGCCACATACTTCGTCACTGCTCCTCCTTCCCCCCCACTACCCAAAGGATGTCCCTCCCAAAGGGTTCCCAGCACTTTTGAGGGACTTGCTCCCAGAGAAGCCACAGGGAACTAAAAATAACCAGCACGTCCAGCAGCCTCAAGCCATCCGGCCGAGCCCGCTCCCAGCCTGGCAAAAGCGGCTGCATCACCCCGGCTCAGCAGAGCGTGTCCTGGGAAGCGGGCACCGTGCCTGGGATCTCCTCCCACAGCCAGGCACCCGGCCCAGGGTGCAGGAGGGGCGGGGAGGTCAAGCTATTTACAGCCCCATGCTGCTGATGGGGGGGGGGACACCCCGGAGAGCCGGTGACACACACAAGGCCTGGCGCCGGTCCAGAGGTGGGCGGATGGAAGGAGAACAGTGACCGGGGCACACACGCGCCCTTTGGCTCTGCTCCTGCTCCTCTTCCCATGGGGCTGCCGGGTGTGAGGACACACAGAGCTGGCCTGGACACCACGGAGAAGGTGCCAGCTCTGGGCCACGGTGCCACGACAGCAGATCTGGCAGCTCTGGCCAAGGGGAGGGCAGGAAGTGTGTTTAGTAACTGTTTATTTTACAGTTTCGGGGTTTGTAGAAATCCGCATTTACAGGGGGTGTGTAAGTCTTTGTACAGAGTTAAGTGAAGCACCCACAGCGACTGTCTCCTCCCAGGCCCTTCCTTCCCCAGGGACAACACAAGAACTAAAGTGCATCATGGCCAGGGAGTGGAGGGGCTGCAGAGGCTACCCCCGGGGGGGGGTCCAGCCATCCCCTCCTTTGGGGCAGTGTACAGAGGGGTCTTGGGCCTTCCAGCAGCACCCCCAGGTCACCACACTCTCCTGCACCACCGGTTTCTAAAGTGCTAAGTGACCCAGCCCGCTGTCCTGCTCTGGTGTTCCAGGGGGTGCTGAGGGGCCAAGAATGGGCTCTGCCTTCAGCCACGCCGGGAGGAGCCCCGTGACCAGCCCTGGCTCTCTCCATGGGCACTGGCACCAGTGAGGAGAGGAAGGAACAGGCCTTGCTGCCCTGCCTGGACAAGGGCAGATTTACACCCTCCAGATTTCACCTACAGAGAACTGCAAGTTCTGCAAGAGAACTCCTGCTCAGAGCCTCATGGGAACACAGGTCAGGAATGACGACTGCCCACCTGCCCTCTGGCCAGAAAGGCACAGCCCCTCCATGAGCGAGGGCTCACAGGGCAAACCAGAACATACCCAGGGCAGTTATGGGCCAACAGGCAGTGGGGTGGGACAGGGGGGTGCTGAGCTTTGCAGGGCATGAGTTTCCTTCTCCATTCCCAAATCCTTCACTCTTCAACCAACACCTCCTTTTCAGGTGTGCAGCCCCTGGGCACGGCACAGATGGCTTTGGGCACAACAGAGCAATGATGGGGAAGCGGGAGGGAGCTGTGAGGGAGAGGTAAGGGCACTTGAGGGAGGTTTAGCAGCTCGGGGGAGAGGTAGAGGCATAGAGTTTCTATTGGCTTTGTCTCAGTGGGACACCAAGTTCTCTAGGAGGATTTGCTGCTTAGCTTGGAGGGCAGGGAGTGCTGGGATTGCCAACGGGGCTCTGATGCTGAAGCCTGATCAACTTGTGGGGGAGGTTTATGACACATTTCCTACTACAGTGACTTCTGTCCTGTGCAAAGTGTTTCACAAGGTGGAAAAAGCCTTTCTCCATGTTAGTGCCCACTTCCAGAGCTGGTAAAGAAGTCTGCAATATGTGTCCACAGTACCACTAAGACTTGTGGTGACGTGACCTAGCACATGACAACACACAGCCTTGGCAGGGCAAGCACACTTGTGTCTCACCTCACTGACTCCAGATAAGATCATGGTACTGCCAGCACAGGAGCGGCAGTGCCCAAGAGCTGAGCTAAGGTCTGCTCCTGTCCCCTGCCCTCCTCTCCCATAAACAGATCAGGCTGCAAAGATGAGGAAGCAAAAAGAGCCAGGGAGTGTTACACACTGGAGAGAAGCTCATGGCATGGCGCTGACAGGGGTTTGTGAAAGGTTTGGCTCTACTCAGAGGGTGCCTACAGGACAGGGAAGGGCTGGAGCACCGGCAAAGCTGAAGGCAGATCGCGGAGCACGCTGGAGCAATGAGGAGCCAAAGGGCTGCCCTGTTCCTCACCAGTGCAACAGCCCTTCAACCCCACACACGCACACAGCCAGGCCAAACCCTGCTGGGACACTCTCTTGCAGGCTCTCACTCCCACCAATTTTCCCCAATGGAGAACGCAGGATCATTTCGGCACAGCCCACACACGGCTCTCCCTTTGTACAGTCACCTGAGCACAGCCTGAACAGCCAGACTTGTCTGTACCTCCGGTTCTTCCCGGGTCGGCGGCAGTGCCTGTCTGCTCACCCCTGCATGGGGAGAGGGGAACAAGGTGAGCACTGTGTGGGGAACCGTCCTGCCAGGCTGGTTCCCTCAGTCTCTGTCACAAAGGCCAAAAGCGTCACTGGACGCAGCGAGAATAAAAAATAATCTTCAGACAGGTAATTTCTGGGCATGTCCTCCATCAAATATCAGCCCTCCCCACCAGGGAAGGCCATTCCTCTGGCTTCAGGGGAAAATCTGCAGTTCAAACTTGGGTGCCCACTCCAGTGCACTCTTCACCACGGCCAGGGCAGCTGCTCCCAGCGCCACCGTCAGCCCCATCACTGCCAGCTTGACAAAGCGGTTGGTCCGGGGCTTTGTCAAGATGGATTTTGTCCGCTCCTCCCCTCGGAGCCGCTCCTCCCCTCGGAGCCGCTCCCTGAAGCGCTGCCTCAACACAGTGTCTGGTCTCTGCTGCACTGATGCCAACTCAAAGTCCTTAAAAGTGGAAGCCGCAGTTCTGCAAGAGGAGGAACAGGTTAAGCAGTGCCCCCAGCTCGCCTCAGGGACCAGCCTCCGGCCAGGGAGGAAGATCTGCATGAGGAAGCAAGACCTGGTAAGGGGATGTAGGGAACACAGGGGTTGGCTGGCACTCACCGTTCTGCCTGCTGCTGAGCTGCCTCCTTGGCGAGTTCAGATGGTGGGAACTGGACAAAAAGGTCTCCAGCTTTGCTGATCAGAGACTCGTAAGGAAGGTCCTGTGGGATCTGGGACAGGAGGTGGTGGACAGAGGCCATGTCACACTCGCACTCCAGAACTTCCTGCTGCCTGTGCAGCACGATCTGCAGAGAGGAGTGAGGACAGATGAGGAAATGGGGACAACTCCTTGGCACACGGTGGCACTTGTTTCAGAGCCAGAAGAGAAAAACATTTCACTTCCAGTTGAAAGACCTTCTCCAAGAGGACACACTGCAGTGAAGCATTCACTGGCTGGGAAGAGAAATGCCAAACCCTTCCTTAGACTCTGAGGCCATGGAAAACCTCTTTCAGGACAGTTAGGTCTGTTTGCTGAGCAGAGCCTGTTATTGGCAGGCCAGAGCCATGGGCAGAACCTCAGCAGAGCTTGACTCCACAACTTGCCCTCAGACATTTGTTTGGATCCCTCACAGGAGGATGGGAAGATGGATGTACAATGCAGGGCTGTCTCCAGTCAGTCAGCACGTGCCCAGAAGCAGGGCCAGCACATGAAAGCAAAGAAAAATGCTGTGCCATGCTGCCTCCATGGCACTGAATTGCCCCACTCTGCACATCTGGACACCTACAGGCTGCTCCAAGTTCCCCAGGATCCCACTTGCCCTCTGCCATCACCAAGGACATCACTGGTAGGGTGCAGCTGGGAACAGCACCAGCACTGGGTTTGCCAGCCCCCCTGTGCAGCCCCAAACTCCCACCACCTCAGAATGGCACAGTTAATCCCTGACTCTTTCCAACAATACCTACCACAGCAGCAAAATAAATGGGCATCAGCGGGTGGCAAGCCAGGAAGAAGTCATATAATCGTACAACGTGCCGGAAGTCAGACAAAACGTGGCCAAACCAGGTGATCAGCCAGCTGAGAGCAAAGATGGTTCCCACCTCCGCACTGCGGAGAGAAAGGGCCGTTAGGTCAGCCTGGAAACAAAGGGCTCCGGACTGACTCTTCCCACTCACCTTCCTGCTTCTGCTTT